TTTTCTTTTTAAATAATAGTTTAGTTTTACATCATTTTGTGCCTTTTCCCATCTCAGTTGTAATCCCCACGGACTTCCCACCACCAGTTCACTTGTGTGCCATCACCATAGTCCACTGCACTTCCCTCGCCCCACCATTTTTATCTCATTCCCCATTCCACTTCTGTAAAATGTCTCTGGTATATAGTTGTTCATTATTATTATTATTATTATTATTATTATTTTCTCCCCTGGTCCTTTATACTTATTCTATGAGTGAAACCATCTGTTAATTTTCCTTTTCTTTATGGTTTATTTCACAAAGCATGATCCCTTCCAGCTCCATTCATGTTGTGGCAAAAGGCATATGGTTATCTTTTTTGATTGCTGAGTAATATTCCATTGTGTACATGTACCACATCTTTTTAATCCAGTCATCTAGTTTTGGGCATTTGGGTTGATTTATGTCTTTCCAATTGTAAATTAAGCATCAGTAAACATGGGGGTGCAGATGTCTTTTTGAATCAGTGTTTTTGTGTCTTTTGGGTAGATAAGAGTGGGATTGCTGGGTCATATGGAAGCTCCATGTTTAGCAATTTGAGAAACCTCCAAATAGTTTTCCATAGTGGTTGTACTTGTTTGCATTCCCACCAACAGGAAACACTGCAATTTTTCAGATTGTTTTACTACCTTCTCCTAGCAGTATACAGAATACAATATCTGCTTAGTTAGAGTTAAATGGTTTGATTATAGTGTTTGTATTTTATCAATGATTGGATTAAAATTGCTTCTAGGGTTAAATACTCCTCCATTTTGTTGATGTTAATCAGCTGAAATGTATCAGTGTTAACAAAAATAAAAAGAAATAAAAATTTAGAAGGTAGAAAAGCACCCAGCTTAGAACTTGAAAAAAAAAGTTATTTTTCATGTAAAATATTTCATTTCTAAATAAGTTTAGTATATACTAAAATCTAAAATGTAATTTTACATTAAATAGCTACACTTATATAAGTACATATTTGGAAGTTCCTATCCAAGTTATACATTAGTCATTCATTCATCTGCCCTTTCAGAATCTATGCACCTTATTATTCAAACAAAATTCTAAATGACCTTTATGTTTATCTGCTGAATCAGGAACTTTCTTAGGAATTGAAGGAAGCCAGTGGTTAGTTTAGTAAAAGAAATCTTAAAACATGTGTTTGTTTCTGTCTCTGCCTCATTTCAGGAAATACATTCATCTCTAACTACACTGGATTCTTAACACAGAAGGGCAATGGAAGGACTCAGAAAGAAGTTAACAAGAAATAGGAAGTTGCAGTTTGCCTAGGCTAGTCAAATCATATTTGGGTCTCAGTCTCACCTGGTTATTATTTGCAATTTGCTTAGGCTAGACAAATTTTATGTATGCATCTAGATGTTATTGCTGTGTATTATATGAAACAGTCTTATTGTACTGATGTGAACTGTGCTTTGTTCCCAAATTTGAACCTCTTATGTGCGTTTTTCACCCTCAAAGTTATCTGAGTTGTGCATCTTGGAAATTTCATTAGTTATTCTAATGAATCTTTTTCTCACATTTGAAGATATGTGAGTTAGCCGTATTTTACTTGTTGAGTATAGGATTGACTAGTGGAGGTGGTGCTGAACATGGAGTGGTTAAAGGGATCTTGTTTGCCACCTCTGCTCCACATGTGGACATGGGAAACCAGGGCCCATCAAAATTGATTCACTAGAAATTGCCATTGCAGTCATTTCCTGAGTCCTGAGTGCATTTAAAGGGCTAACCAGAGAGTTATTTTCAGGTTATTTCTTCCACAGCCAGAATGCATGAACTGAAGGCATAAACTCAGCAATCTAGATTTTTATGATTTATGTTTGAACTTTTATATGATATGATGTTCATTTAGATGGAATGTTGCTTTGAAGTATAAAGCCGGGGGGGGCGGGGGAGGAATTATCCTCTATCTCTCTGTGTTCTTCTTGGCTTCATTTAGCCATCAGGTTAAATCCAAAGAGATTAGTAGGAGAATTGAGTTATCTATGTATGGAGGATCTGCATAAATGAAGACTCTAAAGCCACTAGTGTTAAGTGAGAATATTTTTTTCTGAGCTATGAAATGGGATAGGACCTTTGGCTTCAGGAGAGGGGAGGGGGTTTATGATAATGACCAGATGCTTTTTTACTAGATGTTTGCCATATAGATGAGTTTCCATGGCTTAAAAAAGGTCATTTCTGGGGATAACCCTAAATCTGAGTCAAACTGCAAAATTCATACTTCTAGGTAAGTAAGGAAGTGGTAAGAGAGTCTCTTGAAACTGTATGGCTTGGATTGAATTTGGCTCAAAATAATCCACAAAGAGGATTTATAACACTATGCTTGACTATACGTACATGTTCACACCAGTTCAAAATGTGTTACCATACTTCACACTCTACCCCAGAAACCATAATCTTCCATCACAGGAATGGAGTCCCCAGACCCTCTCATTTCCACTTACACCTTCCTCCTCAGGTAGTCTCAATTCTATGGTCTTGTAGTGTTTGTATTGGGTTGGTTTTGTCTGTTCTTTACTATTTCTGTTTCCCACCTATTTCTCTATTTTCTATCTGGGTATGAAATCCAATATTTCTCTCTCACTTAATTCAGCATTATCAGCAAGACCTCATCTTTTGTGATGATGAGTAGTATTTTCTGTGTATATGTAGCACATTCTTTTCATCTACTCATCTGTTATTTGGCATTTGGGTTATTGCAGTAACTGATAATTTTGATTGTAAAGCAATAAATATAGGGTTGCATATACATATTCAAATTAGTATTTTTAAAAATTCTTCTGGAAGATGCCTAAAAGTGGAATTATCAGATCAAAGGCACATATATTTTTGATGGTTGGAGAATTATCTGTTTTTTTCTATTATCTACTATCTATTTCTATTTTCTATTATCTATTATCTCTATGTCATTCCTGGAGAAGTGTCTGGCAATTTTGTTTACCTGTGGATTGGAGTATTTGTTTGCTTGTTGAGTTGTGTGAGTTATTTATAGATCTTGGATATTAGCCACTGTTCAGATGTATATGGTACACACATTTTCTCCCATTTGGTGGGTGTTTTTGAGTTTAAATGTCATCTTTTTTAGCTCTGCATAAGCTTTTCAGTTTTATGCAGTAACATTATTTTTATTTTTACTTGCTGTTTGAATTGAATCCCCAAAGATACCACTAAAACCAAAGTCATAGAATGTTTTGGCTATGTTTTTTTCTCTGCATTTTATTTTCAGGCCTTACATCCAAATCTTTAGTTAATTTTGTGCTTATTTTCTGTATGGCATGAGATAGTGATCTGTTTCCATTCTTTTGCATGTAGCTGTCCAGTTTTCCCAGCACCATTTATTGAATAGATTTCCCTTTTTCCAATGTATACTTTTGGCTCTTTTGTAATAGTTAACTGTTAATATAAATTTGGAATTATTTCAGGACTCTCAGTTCTAATCAATTATTCTCGGTTTCAATTTTTATTTCATTCCTGAAAGCATATAATAAATACCATAGAAGAAAGAACAGACAAATTCTCTAAAACATTAACTTCAGTGATATATTTGGGGACTCTATTCCAATGACAAGGCAAACAAAAACAAAAGTAAACAATTTTGACTACATAAAACTAACAAGCTTTTGCATAATATAAGAAACTACCATTAAAACTGAAAAAAACATTCTGTCTCATGGGAGAAAATGTTTGTACCTCATACATCTGACAAAGGGTTATTGTATAAGGTCAGTAAAAAAATTATATAAATCAACAAAAAGAAAACAAGTGACCAATCAAAAAAAAAATGAACAGAAGAGTAAAATTGACACTTCTCTGAAAGAGATATACAAGCATACATGAATAGATGGATTAATAAATGTTCATCTTTTGTTAACAGGAAATACAAGTCAAAACAATGAGATGACATCTAACATCTGTGAGAATAGTCCATATCAAAAAGACCAAAAGAAAGAAGTTTTGGTGAGGATATGGAAGAAAATGAATTCACATACACTGTTGATAAGAATGTAGACTAGTCGCTATGGAAAGCAATATGGAGTTTTCAAATTTTTAAAAATAGATCTAACATATGATCCACAATTGCACTATTAGGTATATAGCTGATGAATGCAAAACACTAAGTCAAAGAGATATATGCACTGCTGTATTTATTGCAGCACCGTTTACAAATTGTGTAAACAACTGAGTGTCCAATAGCAGAAGAGTAGAGTAAGAAGATATGGACCATATATGCACAGTTGAATACTGCTCACTATCAGAAAAGATGAAATCTTATCATTTGACAACATGGATAGAACTGGTGATTTTCTGAGTGAAATAAATGAGAAAGAGAAATACCTGATGATATCATTCCTGGGTGGAATACAACAGAGATAGACAAAACTAAACCAATACAAACCCTAGAATGCTGATTGTAGAAATGTGTACAAATGGTAACAAAAAAATAAGGCTCAATTACCTATGGGTTCTTGGGGGGTGGGTGTGTTGTGGTACATTAATTTAAGGAGGTATGACAATGTTATCTCAATAAAAAATAGTATATCTTAAAAACGTATTTTGATCTATCCTGTAATGCCCCAGAAAAGGGCTTAAGCTTTCAAAAGCCTCCATGGAAGGGCCCTCCCTGGTGGTGCAGTGGGTTAAAGCACTGCACTAAAGAAGCTTAAGCCAATTCAGCATGAGCTCAATCCCCGCCTGCCCTGCCCCGAGGAGATCCACATGGCGTGGCAGACCTCTCCTGACCAGCCCACTGCTCCCCTCAGCAGTGTACTTCGTCGATCTGCCTGTTCTGCTCCCCGCTCTGTTTCTGGTGAATCCTCTCACCCTCCACAAATCTGGCCTGTACCAGTTCTGTATGAATAGATAAATAAATCTTAAAAAAAAAAAAACCTCCATAGAAAAAATTGGAAACATTTCTACAAAGCTTATAAAATACTCTCCATTTTTCTCTTTCCAGAATCACATCATGCCATACTACAAACTCACTTACTTTAACATGAGGGGGAGAGGAGAGATTATTCGTTACATTTTTGCATATTTGGACATAAAGTATGAAGACCACAGAATAGAACAAGCTCATTGGCCTGCAATCAAATCAGGTAAGGCCCACAAATGAGAGATCTTAAAAATGTGGGGGAAAATATATTTTTCCCCACCTTTTTGTCTTTCTTCTAGAAAATGTAGCTTGTGGCTTTGCATTGAGAATCAAAAATTTTGGCAACTTAAGTAAATGTTATGTGACTCATAAATTTTCTGTTAGAGATGGAAACAATCTCACAGAAAAAGAATATAAAGATAAACCAGTATGAAACTTTGTCAGAAAAGCCAAAATGGGTGAACGGTAATGTCACTATTTTTGACAATTGGAACTGTATGGGCTACTATATATATTTATAACACTTTTACAGTGGATTAGTTATGTTGCTTGAAAACCAAACTCAAAATGGTTTAAACAATAAGGAACTGAGCTATGTTATATAACTGACAATCCAAAAGGACTAGTTTCAAAGGATGGCTTTGTTCATTTTTCCTCTTTGGTCTGTTGGCTTCCCAATGCTGGTAGCAAGATATTCACCACAGTTCTAACCTCAAAAGCTTAAGAACAATGCTTCTGAATGGATATAAGAGAAAAACAAACAAACAAACACTACTTCATTTGTGTACAAAGAACAAAAAAGACTTCAGCAAACATCTCATGTCTCACAGACTCACTTGTATTGTATGTCCATGTCTGGATCGATTAAGGGCAAAGGCGTTAGAGAGAAACCAAGAAGCATGTTTTCCGCCTCTGATATGGATATGAAATCAATTTTTTATGAGGTGTTGGACTATATGAGAAGGTTACATGAATAACTCTGGGTCTGTTTGATCAGAGGAAATAGCATGTTTACAAAAGGGACAGGTAAGTCCTTCTTGGTGGCAGGGGTTAAGTCTCACTATTATGATGCTCTCCGCAGCCACTGTAGCACATGTTCAATCCCCAGCCAGAGACCTAACCCACATGGCAGAGTAGCCCTCTCCTGTCTTGCCCACTGCCCCCCTAAGCAATTGTATTTCAGTAAATCTTCCTGTTTTGCTCCCCACTCTGTCTTTGGTGAATTCTCTCAGCCCCTGCACCTCTGGTCTGTACCCCAGTTCTTGTATGCATAAAGAAATCTTTAAAAAGAAAAAAAAGTAAATGCAACAGGTAATTGAATGAAAAAATGCTGCCTAGCATTAGGATAATGGGAAGAATGAGAAATATAGTTACATGAAACAAACAGTATGTGGTTCTCCGTAAGTTAGAAGTCATTCTTTAGATGTTTGCCATAATACCTGAAAATGTAATTAAATGTTAGCTATGTGAAATGTTTAAAATTCACATTTTATGATTGGACTATAATACATTATGGACATAAAACTGAAGAAAACAGCCATCAAGTGCTTGAACACTGGCTGGAACTTGTTTGATACTCTCCAACATGCCTACTCCTATTTTATTGTATGGGAACCAAAGCACAAAGAGTTTACATGATTTTCTCAGGTTCGCAACCTTAGTAAAGTAGAATTGAGTTTCAAATACAATTAAATCCTGTAGCCAAGTAATTTGTACTAGATAATGAGAACAACAAGAACACTATGATAATTGGTATGTTAAAAATATATGTTGCCCTATGTCATTTAGAAGCATGAAGTCCCATAATTGTAAAGGGATCCCCTGTCAGAGACTCTTTGTCCCCAATCATGGATTATTGGGGGGCAAAACAGGCAGGATCTCAAGGTGGGAACAGCATCAGCAAGTGGAGATTCCTAGAAAAAGGGGAAAAAGGATAAAAGGGGGAGCGGGCACAAGGAAGACATTGGAATGGGAGTTGGGTGCAAGTCTTCCTGCTCTGCCTTCAGCAGAAGTTTATTTTATACATTTCAAGCAGGCAGAGGGATGACATTAGCATATGAAATGGGCTGAGATCACAATTGTCTCTTTTCTAAGAATAGTCTGGGGTCGTTTTGACCTTTAGTTGAGATTATAACATTTTTAAAATCAATCTATCAAGGTTAAAACAGGTACATAGATTCACAACTTAAGACTAATATTACTATATTTACCACAGTGAAGATTAACCAAAATAAAGTCTATTACTTAATGGCTTTCATTCTCATGGAGACATCCTAGTGGGTAAAATAAAGTGGCGGCAGGAAGAGGAAATTTCTTGTAAATCAAATTACAGTAAAGTTCTTTGAAAAACTTGTTAGAAAGTTTAAGTGAGTTTCCTTGAAGTCTAGATGGTAAAAAACCTGATTAGCTCTGAATAGGTGACTTGGGTAAATTTCCATATCTAAAGACTAGGTAGTAGAAAGCTTGAGTGGTTATTTAGAAACTGAGTAGAAGGCTGTGTGAGATAGAGTGATAAGATTTGGGTTTTCCTCCGTCTGGCAGTTAGACTTTGCAGTAACAGCCATTTGTTTTTATTAACCAGCCAGTTGTTTAATGACTTTTGACTTCAAGAGGAATTTCTCACCCTGGTACAGTGCTTGTTTGTCAGGGCTGAGGCAATCCAATTGTAAACTGAAGGTTGCTCAGAATATTTTGATATTATGATTATACAAAAAAGGGAGGTCATAATGTTATAGGGCAGCAAATCTGTTAGAGCACAGGGGGAGAGGGACACCCCTGAAGCCCCAAAAACTGCCTGCTCTAAGTGGGTTCTGCCATCCTCTGCAACAAGACAAGACATAAAACATTAATGAAAAGGGACTTTAATACAGTGAATATACAATATGGAACACAAAGAATATAACTTCTAAATCAAACACCTGAAGTTACCCATCCCCTCGTGGCCCAAAGCAAGGCCTGAAAGCCTGCCACAAGATGAAAGTGTAAAAACGAGGAAGATAAGGAGGTTTTTCTGTGACCAGCAGTGAAGAATTCTTGAATCCTTGGAGAAGCCGCATCCAGGTGAGTTGTCCGCTCAGCCCGTTCTCAGGGTCAGACCATTCAAAAGCGAACAAAGACTGGCTATCTTCATGTAGTCACAGGCAGAAAAAGGCATCTTTAAGGTCGAGCACCGAGCACCGTATACCACTTCCTATCAGGGCTGAGAGTACTGAGGAGGTTATAGGGGTTGGGCACAGTGGGGTGTATGTCCACGACCCGACTATTAACCTCCCTCAAGTCCTGGACTGGCCTGTAGTCCCCCGTCCAGGTTTCTTTACTGGCAATAGGGGTGTATTCCATTCAGAGCGGCACGGTCTCAGGATCCCTTGGTGTAACAGCCTCTGGATGTGGGGTTTTATGCCATCGCGTACCTCCTTGGTCATATAATATTGACGAACTCGCACTGGGGTGGCTGCGGGCTTTAAAGTCACTACCACCGGAGGCCGTTGTGCCGCCAGGCCTGTCCCGCTGACTCTGCCCACGCCAGGGGGAAATTCTCTAGCCACTTGTTTCCCTCCAAGGATGGGGTGTGGCTAGGGGCCTCATACAGTTTGTATTCATCATCTTCGGTAGACAGAGTAAGCATAGTTACAACAGGTGAGTCAACAAGGGGGTTATTAAAGGTCACCTCGGCCCGCCAGGTTTAAAATTTATACTAGCTCCCAGCTTAGTGAGTAAATCTCTTCCTAGTAGCGGGGCAGGGCACTCTGGGATGACCAGGAAGGAGTGTTGTACAGTCCCTCGTCCTAAGTCCATGGTTCTCTTGGTGGTCCAGGAGCGGTGTTGACAGCCATTTGCCCCTTGAACCAAAGATTTACGGCTCGAAAGGCGTCCCAAGGGGGCCTGCAAGGCCGAATAGATGGCCCCCGTGTCCACCTCAAAATCAATGGGAGTCCCCTTCACATTAAAGGTTACCCTGAGTTTGGGGAGGGGATCCGAACTCCGACGGCCCTAATTATCTAAAGCAAGGAGGTCCACAGTCTTTTTCTTTATCCTTGGACAATGTTTAGCCCAATGTCCATCTTCTTTGCAATAGGCGCATTGGTTAACACCTAGTCTCTGGCGTGGGCCCAGGAGTTTGCCTCTTCCTGCTCTATCTTGTCTTCCAACAACAGTGCTTAGTATTTTTGCCAATTCCCTATTTCTACGTCTGTCCCTCAGACTTTCTTTTTCCTCTCGTTCTTTTTCTAATCTCTGCTCCCTTTCTTCTGCAGTCTCCCTTTTGTAGAACACTTTCTCAGCCTCCTTAACTAAGTCCCTAAGAGCCATGTCCTGCAATCCGTCCATCCGCTGGAGCTTCCTCCGGATGTCAGTGGCTGACTGACCTATGAAAGCCATTGCCAAAGCCCCCCTATGCTCATCAGACTCAGGATCAAAAGGGGTATATCGCCTATAGGCTTCCATTAGTCGTTCTAAAAATCTGGATGGGGATTCCTCAGGCCCTTGGGTCACCTCTCTTACCTTAGCCAAATTGGTAGGGCGGCGTGCTGCTGCACAGAGACCTGCCATCAGAGTCTGGTGATAAAGCAAGAGTTGCTGCCTACCTGCAGGCGTATTAGAGTCCCAGTTAGGTTGTCGCATGGGGAAAGTCTCATCTATAAGGTTTGGTAGCTGAGTGGGTCATCCATCAGGGCCAGGGACCAGTTTTCTGGATTCAAGAAGAATGCGATCCTTTTCCTCAGAAGTGAAAAAGACAGAGAGGAGCTGCTGACAATCATCCCAGGTAGGCTGATGAGAGAACATAAGGGACTCAAGAAGATCGGTTAGTCTGGTAGGGTCTTCTGAGAAGGGTGGGCTATTTCCCTTCCAGTTATAAAGGTCAGAGGAAGAGAAGGGCCAGTACTGCAGCGCTGGCATGTCCCCCCCTGTCCGTCAGGAACAGGGGTCCAATGGGCCGAAGAGGCAGGGTAACGGCTACATCATCTGGGGGGTGTGCCCTCCGGCTCAGAGTCCCATGTGCCGGGCCCTCTTCCTGTGGGGGTCCTTGTGCGATCAGCGGAGGGACCGGGTCACAGTCGTTAGCAGCAGCAGGAACGTTCCTAGGGTATGGGGGAGGGGGACCAGAATCAAGGAGAAGGAGATCAGCTTGAGACTCAGGGAGGACGGAAGGAGGAAGAGGAGGGTAGAGGGATGAAGGGGGTGCCGTTGGCTCTGGTGACTTCAGGGGAAGAACAGAGCAGGTAT